AAACCTTTCACAGTTTTACACAAATTTTCATAACCATCAGTAGTTCTTATTGAATAAATAAATTGCTACGTAAGCTTCATTTGGTAACAGGATCCTTTTTGCTGCTAACTTCTTAGACATACGTGTATCGCAAGACTTTGCAGTTTAAAAACCAGGATGGTTTCGGTGTTCCCGTGTAAACGAAAGACGGGTCCTTGCAAGATTTTGTCCGTTTCTCGTTACCATGCCAACCGACTGTCAACAAGTTTTTTACCAAGTGCGTCTAAGAAAAGAAAAAAGTTATTTGATAGAAAAAAGGCCGTAAGTGTTTAAAAAAACTAAATATAATAATAAATGAAAAATATCTAAGTCTACCTTTTCTCCAATTACAGAAAGGAGTAAAATGTGAATTTCAGTAGAGCAATCATTTACAGTTGGTGGTTAAAATATCTTGTATATTCTGCTTAAGTTTGACAAGGAATCCAGCACGAATACACTTTTCTGTAGCTGAAATAAACAGTAAAAACACAAAACTACCTTTGTTGAGGTATCACTTTAACAGCTGTAGTACCCTCTGCTAGCAGGGTACTGCTGAAGGCACCCGCGTATGGAATCAAAATTTCAACAGTTTATAATCCGCAATGTAGCCTACCCAAAAAGTAGCATAAACCATCTTGCTACTTTGTAAGAAAGTTTGAAACTTCTATTGTTTGCGTCACAATCATTTATACGTCATTTATGGAATTTGGAACGAAGCGCGTGCGATTCTTTTTTTCTTCGTATTCACTAAACGGCAATTGAGTCATTTGAAAAAAAAAATTCTTCCGTTACCGAAATATAACAAACAAAAGTTTCTTTCTCGTAGATTTCGGCTCGCATTCAGCTGACTCTGCTGAATACGTACTGCACGGTGCTTTTGAAATGTTGTACAGTTTTTACGTACATTTGGGGCAAATTTGCCAGTATGAGATTTCCACGATTTTCAAGCACTGCTAACATATTTCAGTTTACTTCTTCAGATGAAAAACAATAGTCGTTCTTTTCTCTTTTCTACGCCGAAAGAACTTGTCATCACAACTTACTGTTTGGACATAACTAGACCAGGCCAGAGATGTTTTATTTTGGTACTGGCATAAACGAATATTAGTCAATAAAAAGCAAGTAAATGTCGATTTCAAGCTTACAGAAGGTGCTGAAAATGAAATGCTTGTCTTGCCCCCCCCCGGATAATCGGATCATTTGGCATCCCTTCTAAATTTGTTTTACATACCCTAACTGAAGAGCATCTGTGGTAAATTTGGTGCTTTCTTCCAGTCTGTAACGATACTTCCTTCAAACCAAAGCACTATAAATAATAATGCTTATTTTTCTATTAGCTTTTGGGCTGTTTCTTTTACGACCAAGACGGCGATTGCAGTTATGGTAGAAAGATAGAACGCAACTCCACAATTGTGGTATCTTAGAAAGACAAGAGCAAATTACCATTGTGAATTGAACTCCATTCTGTCCTGTTCCGATTAATAATAATAAACGGAGTAACCATAAAGAAGGGGACTTTGGGGGCGGGGGGGGGGGGTGTCCCAAACACCCAAAAACGGGTACAGCGGTCTTTAACACATCCAATTACGCAAAGGGAAGGACAAACCGAAAATCGCACGCACAAAGATGTTTAATGTTGTCGTTACATAGTTAGAAGCAAGAGAGAGATATTTAATAAAAATAGAAAACAAAAAAGCCATATAAAAATTTTATATAGTAAAAAAAAAAAATTTAAAATTACAATTGTAAATGAAACTTCTTTGAAGCCTAAAGCATATAAAAAAAATGAAGGGAGGAAGGAAGGAGGAGGGGGTTGGGGGGGGGGGGGGGGGGGGTGCCCAATACCGCAATACCGTGAAGGATCTTCTTTACCGAATACCGTTAGCCAGAGGGATGAAAAACCGCATACCGCAGGGCTGAATGATACCGCAATACCGCACATTAAAATCCAAATTACCGAAATAACGCTTCAAAAGAAGCTCAATATCGCAATACCGTCAACCCTTAAAGTCCCCCTCCATAATATATATTGTGGCTAGATTACATTTTCACAACATAAAGTCGTGTTAAGCTAAGCGGGTTTGAAAGGTGCATGTACGGCAGCCGGAATTTTACTTAGGTATATCATTTCAACTGGAAATAAATATTTTATTCTGTTACCTGGCATCTTTATTTTTTGAACAATGTATCCATCCCCATGCAAAGTTTTTACTTTGATTTTCCCTCAGCTAGCGCTAAGAGACTGGGAACTAGTCTCAAGTCCCTCTCGGTCGCTTGACATCGAAGCCGGCTGCGCTGGCTAGTGGAGTTCAGTTGGAGAGCCTGCAAATAATATAATATTCTTGTCTGAGTCGTTGAAGAATTGTTTTCGTTCTCAGATTGGATAGACAGGTACGGTAATTTCGGTAAAGTTTTTTTGTGCTATTATTTCTGAGGAAAATTAGACGTGAGAATTCCTTACAGAAAGTGTTTTGTACCTCTTCCGGTTATCACAGTGCCTAAAATTTCGCTCTCTTCCAGAGTTCGACAGTAACGTTAAAACTCTAAATGTGCTTGATTCTATTGTCTTTTTCCAGCTTTACCTTACTTTGTTTTAATTTTTTATAATTTAAGCTTTTTCCGTCCAAAATTTCGATTTATAGGCGACTTGTTTTATTTCACCTTTTGGGAAGACACGTGATCAAACTTAGGTATAATTTACATACAGCTTTCTGCAGCTTGTGCCATCTGCTGTTTTTGGATCATGTGGCCTTGATAAGCTTGGCATGAGTAATATACAAGTTAGCATTTATTTTTCCCCATGTTTTATGCTGCTTGATTTCAACAGTCACAACATCACCAAATTGTGCACATTTTAATGGCCAACTTTGTGTCCTAAATGGCTGTGAATATATGAATTTAAATCACACACTAGAACTGTGACTGAAGAGATGAAACCGGTTGTGATATTCACAGTGAGATGATCAAACTAAGTAGTTGAAAAAGAACTTGAATTTGACCAGGTTTCAAACCCTGGCCCCAGTTGTTCAAAGGGTGGATCCCAGTGGGAGGACTCTGGATTTCAAGTGACGGGAAGGATCAAATGGGGGCAAAAATCAAAACCCAAAAATACCCTTAGGGCTTCCAACAATACCCCCAAAAATCCCTTGAACAAAAATTAACCCCTAGAAAAATCCTGTGCCCAATTCCTGATCTGAGGCTCCTTATCCTCCTCCAGGATACGTGGCCACTACCATGAATTGTCACATTGTTTTGAATACCCAAAATCCCTGCTTAAAACAAGCAACCCTCAAAACTACTTGCTAAATTTGTCCTACCGCCCCAAAAATCCTGAAATCAAAAATTTCAAACCCAAAAAAATCCTTCCATCATCGTCATCACTTGAAATCCACAGTAGCGCCCCCCCCCCCTGATAACGCAGTTGTTTCTGGTAACACTTATTGGCTGTATTGTGATTTATTTGGTGGATAGCACTATCCAATGTTTGGACAACCTGGGCCAGACCTTTGCAACTTCCTTAACAATGTTTGTAAAAAGCACAAGTTGGGACGTTTCAACTGATTATGTTCCATTTTAGTTTATGTGTTTGTAATTTTTTAAGTGGAGTGTTTTTAAACTACATGACTAAAGTACATTTCTACTTTAGACAATAATTTTTTAATTCTTTTTGCAAGTAAATAAAGATAGCCCAGCCTCAAGAGGGTAAGGGGAGGGAGTTGGTGAGGATGGGAGCTTAGAAAGTTGGCCTGGATAACCCTATCTGACCTGCCAAAGAAAGGAGACAAAAGACATCAAAACAGGTTCAGTAACCCTCACTCCATGGAAACAGTAACCTGAGAAAAAAGCTGAAATTTTGTGATGCCACCACTGGTTTCCTTGTGAAATGAGGTCAGCAGAAATTCCATACAGATGATGTGTCACTACCAAGTTCTCAGCAAATTTCCCTTGTAAAATGACCAATAGGAAGCACTACCCAGATCTGAGTAGTGACACCTCATTATTATGGAATTTGTGCAGTTGTTCCTCAGGCATCATTTTGCAGAGAAACCAGTGGTAGCACCACAAAGTGTTCGCTGTTTTCTCAGGATATGGAAACAGGCCTTGTTTGTGGATACTCAAACTGTTATATTTAAATATTTTATTTGACTTTCTTAAATGTACATCTTTCTTTGTCTCTCTACAGCTCTTCAGGCCCCCAACCTGATATCATAGTAAAACAAATAGACTGCAAATATTTTTGGAAATAAAGTAAAGGCTTGTGCTCTAAAATGGCAAATGCAGCTGATGTTGAAATTGATGACTCTTTGTACAGGTATGATAATAATAATTGTTTTAATATTTATTGACTGATCCCTAGGGTAACATTTATATAAGTTGGTTACATTTAAGTTAATTAATCTACCCAGGGAAATGCTTAGGTTTGTTTCAAGGAACAGTTTTTAATTACTTAAGGTATCAGTGACACCTGTATTGGACTTGACTGGATTTTTTTTTCTTGCCGGCTGAGCAAGACTGGGGCAGGAAACGAAGTTCTCTAACACTGACTGAGTCCTAGGCATGAGTAAGGTGGTACCAGTTTTCATGCTTTTTGTCACATGATCCTATTTTTGCCTCTTGCCATGCAGTGTAATAGTTTTGTTTCTTGTGAATAAAGTGCTGCAACATTATCATGTGGTAGACAAAAGGCATTCACTGTGGTAGAAGAGCTGCTGACTAAAGCAATTCAATGGTCCAGTGATTATGTGTTTTGTTGTGCAGCACCATAAAGACATGAGTAGTTCTATTATGATCACAAAGTATAGTGTGGTGATCAATATTTGTGGCTATGATATCACAAGTTGGCAGGAAACAGTCCCATTGTTGTGACTTTCAAAGGAGGAGAAATTAAATAGGTCAACAACTGCCAGTTGCTTCATATGAATGCTTTCAAGGGTTTATCCACCAAAAATCTTATGTACTTTTTTTCCAGTCGTCAGCGTTATATGCTCGGTGATGGGGCAATGATCAAAATGGCACAGTCTAAAGTGTTCCTGAGTGGTCTTGGCGGCCTGGGAGTAGAAATAGGTAAGTTAAACGCCAAAGCTCAGGCTCACTACACTGTAGTTATGAAAGGCCTTTTTTATTTCTTGGCTATGATAAGGCTGCTCCGATACTTTAAATGTCTCTCAAAACTAGGAGTGATGAATATTTATGCATACAGATGTATTAGTGTAAGTTCAATGCATCTCTTCAATCATATTTGTCAAGCTTGTCTTCTTACCATTTCTGATACAGATCTGCTGAAAATAATGCCTATGTCGCATTATGAAGGATTATGAATATATAAATAAATAAGAAACTAAGTAAAACTAGCAATAGCCTCGATCAATGATTGGGTGCATACCTGAACATAATCACTAGCTTCTAGAGATTTTTATTCTAAACATTGAAGGCTTGAGTGTTAATAATAATTTTTTGTTTTTGCTTTAGCAAAAAATGTTGTCCTGGCTGGTGTAAAGGTAATGTTTTAACCTAAAAATTAATTTGTTAATGGCCAGTCATGCGACCACTAATTTTGCGTCACATTTTTCTGAGATGTGCAAGGGTAGGGTGGGTGCGTGGAAGCCATGCCTGAAAGAATTTTCTTTTGTTTTTATTAAGTTTGAGCCATACCCTCTTAACTTGAGTATCTATATCTGTTCATTTATTTCTGACACAAATTTTTTAAAAATTTTGTAAACATTGGATGCCATGGTTATGAGATAAATTATGTTGACATGAGGTTAAGTCATTTTAATAAAAATCAAATTTATTCTTTCTTGTGCAAAGAAAAACAGACAAAAAGTTGCAAAATGTTTCATTACAATCTATTTTAGACCTTCAGCAAAAAATGGCTCTGAAGGAGACTTGAGTTCTTCTTACCTTCTATGCTATTTGCATAGAACTGAATTATTAGTAAAATAATTTATGATCGAATTTTTTTTAAAAGATGTCATTACCAGCACTGAGTATCATATCTCATAATGCCCATCAGTTTCTAGAGGCCAATGCACAGTAGGCTTTTTATTAACTATGAATTTTGAAAAGAAAAATAAAAAAATAATAATAATAGAAGAAAACTCAAGGAGGGATCTAACTGTGCCTCCTCTGCTCAGCCCATGTTTGGGGTATTAATTTGCTTGTTCATCCAAAGGTTAAGCAATTACTGAGGTTTTTAAATATTAGCTGGTTCAGATGCTTAAGTCTGGGTCACCCTCATTCTCTGCAAACAGGCCTCTGCTAGCTTACAGCTTTTGTGAACACTCTGTTTAAGGCTCTGTTCTTTATACTATGCCGGATAACTTTTGCGCTGGCACGAGAACCATACAGGATAGGGATTCTGTTCACACATAAGAATGGTGATTTTGGGGCAATTTCTGTAACAGAGTGAAGCTGTGCACACCGGCCAGTCTCTAAAGTGAAGAGTCACTTATCGCATAGGCATTCATACCACATCAGATGGCTATTTGTGTTAGGACGAAAAGCCATCCAGTATTGGGAACATAGCCTAAGTTACATGTCAGGGGCACCCAACAAGAATATAGTTCAAAATCACTTAAACATAGCATTGTTAAACGTATTTTAGTATTTAAACAGTAGATAAAGGCATATTTTTATTCCATAAAGATTTTTCATCTGTTCGGGTAAAAACCTGTTTAAAAATGGGCAATTATACCATTTTTTAGATGTTTGAAAATCCTAGGAAAGACAGGGAAGCAAGAAATAATACAACAAATGTTCCAAAAATTCTAGATCTCAAATCGTCTTCCGAACAGATTTTTTTCCGAAAATTGATGTTAGGTGCCCCTGAAATGTAATATTTACCCTTTTAGTGACCAACACCAATTTTCTCCTAATAATGTCAATACAATCAATACAGTATCAAGAGGAAAGGTTATGAGAATTAATAAAATGATCACCTGAAAGAAAATGCTTTGATCTTTTATCAAATTCTCTCAACTAATTCTTAAAGGAGATGTATAGAGATCAGTTTGGAGAATTTGTATGTGGATATTGGGGGTTAAAGGGGTCAAGGGGAGTCTAAATGTTTCCCCTAGCTCCACTGGACTCTTGATTACTAAGGGTATGGAATTGCCTTTTTGTCCAAAGGTTGTAACACAATCACTGAATTAATTGTGGAAATTTCTAGCACATTGATTTTTAGTTAAGTTAAGAAGTTGAAGATAATAATTATTGTTCTTATGCTTAATAGTCTATCACTCTACATGATACCAAGATTGCCTGCTTTGAAGACCTTGGAAGCCAGTTCTTCTTGAGAGAGGATGATATCAGAAACAACAAAAACAGGTAGGACATTAGTTTGTGATATTTTAAATTTGTTTTGTTAGTTTCTCCCTTAAAAAATAATTGCCATGGTAGTGAGGGTAACCACACTGACATGAAACTGTTTGATTAAGAAAATGTAATTTCAGAAATTTATAATAAATGATAATAATAATAGTAATATTAATAATGATAAATTTATTTGAAATTTCTAAAATTACATTTTCCTAATGGATCAACACAAACAATAATTGATCTTATATTGGAGCATAATGGCACAAGGCAAATCAGCCTACATGTGCTAAACAAGCTTAACTTTGGAAGAATGACAATTTGTCTGTTGAGATGTATCCAGAGGAAAAATTGTAATTCTTCAAACAAAAACAATTGAAAAAGGTCATAGAAAACTTCTAAACCCATCTTGATTTTTCCTTCATCAGTAATCATCACAGATATTATTATTATATATATATATATTTGATGATGAGGCTTCAAAACTGCTCTCTAGAGATGGGGGGGGGGGGGGGCCCATATAATAAAAAAAAAAATATAATGAAAATATATACACATACATTTAACCTATTTTTTTTTTTTTTATTAATACAAAACTTAACTATAATTTTTTTTATTATTTTTTTTTTTGGGGGTGGTGCGTCACAACTGGGGAGGGGGGGGGGGGGGGGGGGGGGGGGGCTCCAATCACCCTGGTGGGGTCATTGCAGCTGGTTGCTGGGGAATACTAGTGGTCTCATGGATGTTATCTATCCTGTATATTTATACTTTTCCTATCAAGATAGGCTTCAAAACTAAATATAATACGACCCCTCCTGAGGGAAACAGTGTTAATTTTGTTTCCCGAGAATCTCAGTGTTTCTTTCAGCAGACCCTAATAATAGATAAATAAATTAATGTCCATAAATCTTTTCGAAACTCAAGTCCTTGTATACATACGTTATTATATTTTTGTTTTGTTATTTTATCTTTAGAGCAGAAGCCAGTGCATCACTACTTGCAGAGCTAAATCCTTATGTTGCTATTCAAACTTCAACTACATCTATCAGTAGTGGTAACTTGGATTTCCTCAAACACTACCAGGTACATCGTACACTCTACATCTCAGTACTATCATTCCAGGGTAACCCAGATATAGTTAACCTTTCTTAAATTTATTTTGTTGAGCTTGAGTTTATGATAAGAAATTACAGTAAAAACCTGTGACTAACAGCCTGCATTTTCCCAGGTTAGCCTAACCAGCTGGTTCTTACATAAATGGTAATTAGCACAAAGTTAAAAATCATAATGTTCTTATTTTCTGAAAAAAAAAAGAAAGAAGCTATGAGTATTTAGTGGTATTCAGCTTATTCCTCATATTATACAACTACATGAGAAATTTCTGCAATTTGATTGACTTAGAGCAGTGGTATTTCAGCTTAATTCGAAACACCTACATGTGAAAATTACAACCTTTCGCGGGTAGTAGTATAAACAAATAATAGCATAATTTGTATGTGATATTTGGCATAAAATACCACTCGTGATGTAATTCAAAATTGTCTCAAATTTCACTCGCCTGGAAATTATGTATAACAATTTTGAAATATCACTGGTGGTATTTATGCCAAATATCTCTACTAATCATGCTATTACCTACACTAGAACCATCATACCAAATTAGTATTTATGTCATTTTTAAATGTCTGAAGCACTGACTACATGAATTTTGAAGTCCTTTACAAGTGTACAGAATTTCTTTAATTATAGATGGAAGATAATAAGAACCTGTTTCAAGTTTTAAGCTAAACAGGTTCTTGTATAGGGGGGGCCCGAACTGAAACATTTTAGCCTAACAGGTTCTTAAAAACCCGGTTCTTAGTCGAGGGTTTTTATTGTGTTTCGATTTTTTCAGATTTTCAAGCTCAAAATTAGAGCATGTTACAGAATAGAAAACTAGGGCTCAGTCAAAAAAGTCTTAGGGTGCTTGCCATTAATTTTGGGAGAACTTGCCATGCTGCCAAACCAGTCCTGTCATAAGGAGACTTTATTTCAGTATTAATCAGGAATATCCAGCCAGATCACTGCAATTCTTAAATGGTATTCATTAAGACTTATATTTCATTTTTCTAATATAAAGATTTAGCCAGAACTAAAAGCGAAACTCTAGTTTTTGCATTTTAAATTTACTTAGACAATGGACTTTAAACCATTGCAAAGAAATCCACAAATCTATACTTAACTTTAGGGGAGAACCATTTGGCTGAAAAACATAAACTTGAGCCTGCGATCAATTAAAAGCGAATAACTGGTTAGTGGAAAACTTCAAAAAACACATGACCTTAATGAGTTGTCACCTAGCCCACGATATGGTCATGCAACTCTGGCCAGCGGATACCCAATTGATGGATGTCTATCTTCAAGTCACGTGATAACTAAAATATCTCTGATGGACAGATTACCAAATTGTCTCCCCTGTTCTTTTTGGGGATAGAACAAAAAGAAGTCTTCACATTCAGAATTGGTCAAATCTCTTTAATCGATTTGCAACTTCAATAATCTGTGGAAATTCTGCAATGTCAAAGTGCACATTAACTTTAGATAAAACAACATGTTTTTTGAAGTAGTTTTTCTCACTTTGTCCCTGCGAATTCTCTTTTTATTAGTGCGTGATTCTCACAGAGGCCCCACTTAGTTTACAGCTTGAAGTAGACTCATTCTGCAGGTCACAGAAGCCACCTATTAAGGCAAGTGCAAAGAACATTGATTGATCTTTCACCTTTTCATAAGATCCAGTATAATTTACTCGCCAGTGCAAGTGTTCCTAGTGCAAAATATTGTGCAAAAAAAAACAACAACAACAACTACTGAAAGGTAGCCTGACAAATGCACCAGTAATGACTGGACTTATCTTGAGGTAGCCATTTTCTTATTTTATAGTGTGACCAGGCAATTGAAAACCGCTGCAGGCAGTGATTTTGCTAAGTTTGGCATATTGCTTTTTTCAGTGTTAAAAAGATTGAAAAAGGGGATTTTGACTTGAATAAAGTTTTGTGTTTTTTAGATAGTTTAAAGGAATTTTTGGAAGGGTTTATCTCTGTCAAAAGCTCTGTTATTGTTTGGGTTATGCTTGACACAGGTGATCAGTGAAGGTGATAGGTAATAAAAGGGAGCTTAAGCAACAACGACGGCATCGGCAACAAGAACGGCAAAAAAGCATTAGGTTTAGATTGGCAAAACAACAACTTTGCACGTGCATCATGCTTTTTTGTACATTTCTTTGCTGTTGCTGCATGACTACAATGTGAAAGTGCTTAATTTAACGTTTTGTTGAAGACGTGAATGAAGACAACAACTTTTTTTTCTTTCCCTGAACTTTGAAACAGTCTTTTAGAATTCATCTCTGCCATCAGTTGATGTATTGAACGAAATGGAATAAGCGCGATAAAGTTTGAAGTAGCGCAAATTCACTTTTTAAGTGACATTTTCGTAGAGGTTGCCGTCGTTGTTGGTTAAACTTCCTACAACCAGGTCACAGGAACCGCAGATTTTAAAAAACATTGAGTCTAAAAGAAAAAAAAAGCAAAGAAGCAGGTTTTGGAATCCTGGCGGATCCAGGGAAAGGGCCTGCCCCCCGCTTATTTTTAGACCAAAAAAATTTTTTTAGAGGCTGCCCCCCCCCCCCCCCCCCCTTCCCCTCGGGCCTGCGTCTCTCCCCGCCACCCCTCCGCGAATCACCACCCTTCCCCGTCATTTTTGATCTTCGTACTTGTCCCCTTTTATAAACTCTTTTTATCTTTTATTTTCCTTCGTATTTTACTAAACAAGTTTTTGGAACCTTGCCGAATCAAGGAAAAGGCCCTCCCCCCCCCTTATTTTTAAACCAAAAAAATTTTTTAAGGGGTTGCCCCCCCCCTCCCCTGTTATCTCAGGGTCTGGATCTGTCACTGGCAATCACTGGTGAATCAAACACCTTACCTGTAATTGTTAAACTACTACATTGACCTGATATTGAATATCTTTTGTCATGTTTATATCTGCAGTTTATTAGTGCAGGCATACATGGAGTGGTCAGTTGGGCATTTTGTGATTTTGGACCGAATTTTGAAGTCCTTGACTCCACTGGGGAGGAACCAAAGGAATTCTTTGTTTGGAAAATTACTAAGGTACATAAGTAACATAATTTTGATGACAAGAATAAAAATAACTTTATTGTCATTTCATATAAAAGTAATAATCTTATGTTGAGCTGTAAAATGTGTTTCAACAGGCAAATCCTGGTGTGGTGACGACATTAGAAAATCGGATGCATGGCTTACAGACTGGTGATAAGGTCACATTTAAAGAAATTGTCGGAATGACTGCTCTCAATGGATCAGAACAGACCGTCAAAGGTTAGAAATACATGTTAACCTGAGATCAGGCTCTATTTTCGTTTCACTTTGAAAATTACATTCCTTAGAGAGAATGTATGAGAACTGCTAAAATTGGGCCCGATCTCAGGTTAGGTACATGTATATAGATCAACCCTACACATGTACAATCTGCAGTGTATGTTTTGTTGCCTTGGTGTTGGTCAATAGACTGCATGTATACCCAAGAGTGTATTTCATGTAAGCATGTGAAGCCTTTGCTAAACGTTTTTCATAGCCTTTATTTACGCAACATGGAAAAATCCCATTTTTACCATAACGGAGCGATTTTTCGTGTGCTGATTGGTCGAGAACTATGTTCGATAAGACCGTACAGACCATGAAAATGATGTGATGGTGGCGCAATTTGTTTTTTCCTTTCTCTCGTGCGCGATTTTTCGAGAAAATTCAACGGAAATGGACGTCAAAACTGTGATTGTTATGGTAAAAAGAAACAAACAAAACTAAGTAGAAATGTTGAAATTTTGCTCTCGTCTCAACTTTTTGGACGAACTTGCACAGGCTACCCTCCCCCCCCTCCCCCCCTCAAGAGAGCTTGCTTGCAGCCCTGGTAGGGTGGAAGAATCCCTGCTGTTTCTCCTGACCTGATTGTTGACTACCCCTGGGTCTCCAGGGTGGGGGGTTATATGTGATGTATATATTTTTACATATTTATGTCATCTTGATGGATGTTTCTACAGTGCTATCTCCCTATGCATTTAGTATCTGTGATACTAGTGGACCTGAGTACAAAGATTATGAATATGGTGGAATAGGAAGACAAATCAAGACTTCTTCTTCTTTATTGAATTTCGTAAGTTAATAGAACTCTTATAAGGTTTTTATTTATTGTGGGGTGTTATTTAGAAATATTAGTTTTACTCTGTGGTTACAGTAGTTATAGAAATGTAATGATCTGCCAATCTCCTACGGCAAGTAATTGCTGGCGAGCCTTGAGCGAGCCAGCACACTATTCTCAACAATAGCGGGAAAAAGCCAAAAAAATGTCGGATGTAAGATCAGAAGCATGCGCAGTCTATTGGTTTGTCTTATCCGGGGTATTCACTTCAGTGCGATGACATCACTTAAACCGTACGTGGACGTCGAGCAAATTTCCAGGGTAGGCAGGGTGTTTTGGATAGCTGGTCGCTTACGAGAGGTGGTCGCACATGGAGGTTCGACTGTATTACTCAATCTCTTGTTTCGACTCACCTTTCAGTGAATTATTGGACGTACGATTTGTACACAAATACGTCCACTAATTTGGCTACTTTTAATTTGGTTTTGCAGGAATCTCTAGAAACACAGCTTAGTAAACCAGATATTCTTACTGCAGATCTCAGTAAAATAGAGGTAGGATTATTAAAACAAAAAGAGAATATGTTATTTAATTTAATACATCGTGATGACGTTCATTCTTTTTCTTTATATTTTTGGTTTTTGAGACCCTCTCCTTCTCCAAGACATATGTTTCTGGGAAACTGTCCACCTACCCCTCCCCTAAGCCAACATTTTGCCCTAAGTGAGAAGTAAGTGTTAATGTTGGCATAGGGGAGGGGTAGGTGGACAGTTTCCCAGAAGCATATAATGATCTGACTTGGATCATTATACGTCGACTTTCTTATCACTTCTGCGGGAGGAATATGAAGATTTTCTGAACCTATATATTATTGTTTTTAGTACATTTTTTTAAATCACCACCAGGTTCCCCTGCAGCTACATTTTGGAATACATGCGTTACACTTATTTCAAGAGAAGAATGGAAGAATGCCTGAAATCAGGTATAAAGCTATTACTTATTTTTGTCTTAAGCCATTCACTCGCTCGCCATTCGATTTTGTTGAAAAACGAGTTTGAAGTTATTCAAGCCGTTTTCTGGTCATATTTGTCTTGCTATAAAGAACCAAAACGCTGCAAAAGATCGAGAACTATGCGGCATTCTGTTCCAAATGCTAAATATCGGTTTCCAAAGTTTCGGCGTACGCAGACAGCAAAATTGGGTTCATAAGTGACACAGCAGTCTCGACTGTTTCCTTTCGCTTTCTCTTCTCCCCTGTTCTTTCTCTTTTCTTGCCGTTTACACTCACAGTTTTCTAGATTATAGCCATTACTTCAGTTATTTTTTTTTTCGGTATGCAGCGGACTCGGCTAATTTCTATGTTTAACTGATTTTTTAAAAAATTTCTAATGACGATATTTTACACTGAGATAGGACGATGGACACCGAATTAACGACTTTTTTTTCAGAAACAAGGAAGATGCGATGGAGTTATGTAAGATTGCAAAGTCTTTAAATGAGGCAGCCATTACAAAGGTGAGTAGCAAGACCCTGAGCTGCCACTTTCTTCTCTTCAATGGACATTTCTGTAATTTCCCAACAGTTTATAATATTTGTCTCTCGCCTATCACTGTCATAATCCAGGTGCAGGATAGGATAATCAGTGAGGCGTAAAAATTGCTAAACACCTCTGTCATACAGTTTCATGCTGGCATAAGGAGAGGAACTAATGCAGGCAGGATGTTTTACATGATATCTGCATGGAACATTGATTTTATTGTATCGATAGTCCATATTTCAAGGAAACAAAACTGTGCCATAGAACCAGACCTAATTTTTTTATCCGATCTTAATTATCCAAAGTAGCGCACGCACACAGAAATACTCTTCAGAATACATTCCTACTGATTTCCATGAAATTACAGGCAGTCTAACGAAGTCGTTCCCTCCCCATCTTACCCAGAGAAAGCCTAAAAAGATGTTTATTGTTAACCTGTAAATGTAAATTTTTTAAAGACGTTTTGTAAAACAGTGAGTCGTCCATAAAGCGAAACACTTAACTTCGGGATACTCTTCATGGGTTTCGGGTACAAGTTCGTTGCTTATTGTCAGCACCCTTCTGCTTCTCCCCCCCCCCCCTCTCCCGTAAACATGGTAAAACCAGCTGTTTTGATCACTCATGGGCAGTGTTTGTAGACGCAAGCAAACTGTAGCTGTAAAGTTGCCCATTTGTCCAACCAGCTTTATCCAATAAAGATGTGATCGAATAAACGTATGTATGAGAGTAAAACATGAAGCTATGCTTATTTTATCCTTTTTTGTACAATGTAGGCCGACTGTCTTGACGAAGATTTGTTGTGTCAATTGTCTTTTACATCACAAGGCTGTTTTTCTCCTCTGGCAGCTGCTGTTGGTGGAGTTATAGGCCAAGAAGTGTTAAAAGCTTTAACGGGAAAGTACAGTCCTCTAAAGCAGTGGGTACGTGCAGAGCGTATCAGGCTTGTCACTAGTTTTTAAAGTACACAGGTGCCCAAGGTTAATTAGGTGGGAAAAGCTGTAAAGTTGGTTTGAAAGTCGGAGGTTGTTTATCCCGGTGGGAATGTTCCAAACGGAAATTCGTGTTCCATTTCTGATTTGCGCAAATGTTAAAACACGATTCCGGTATGAAATTTACCAGCCCTGAATTTGCTTACCAGATTTGCTCCAATCATGAACCGACTGGTTTACTCATGTACAAGGTAAACAACAGGGGTAAAGAGACGTAGGGACCAACTACAGTGTCGGGTGTCTGTTTTATTGAGGTCTTCGTCTTACAGACTGTAATAGTGACTGTGAAAACTAGAACGTGTGCCAGGAACATTATCAGTATGTTTGCTCTCGAGACGAATTACATAAAGTACATTGTGTAAGTCATTCGCCCTTAACTGTGTGTTTATATCAACAGCTCTACATTGATGCCACTGAAGTTCTAAAGGGACAGGAAAAACTGGACACTAAATCGTTTTTACCCAGGTTAGTTGTGGTATTTTTATTTGACTTTTTGTGCGAGAATTCTGGTACTTTTTATGTAGAAATAGTATGTTGTTTATAGTCCTCCTTTATTCTGTGTAAAGTACATAAGTTCTTGTTAGTGTAGTATTTTATCATAATTAGCTGTTTATATGTGGTATTTTTCTGACAATTTCTTCATCTTTCTTTTTTATACATTTTAAGTTATTTTTAAATTGGATGGATTACCTTAGACTACGAGCAGTCTCTCTTTTTTTTTGGACCGTCAAGCAAAACGCGCGTGACACGCCAATGACCACGCGCTTGACTTCTCGATGCTCGCGCGCGTGCACTCCCCTCACGAAATCTGAAGAGAAAGAAAGACTGCTCGAATTCTTGGATCAGCTCTCATGGTTCTTGTGTTACCCACCTTCTGTCGTTCCCCGCTGCTCTCTTATCAGGGGCACCCAACGAGAATATAGTTCAAAACCACTTGAACATAGCATTGTTAAACGTATTTTAGTATTTAAACGGTAGATATAGGCATATTTTTATCCTCTAAAAATGTTTCATCTGTTCGGATTTCCTAGCTGAAAGTCTAGTGATTCGAAAATTAGAGGGATCAAAACTTACCTTTTCGAAAATTTCAGCCAGAAAAAAGCCTCCCGAAAATTGAAGGTGACCCTTTTAGGGAAAAAATTCGTTAAAAATGGGCAATTATACCATTTCTTAGATCTTCGAAAATCCTAGGAGAGGCAGACAAGCAAGACATTTTGCAAAAAATGTGCAGAAAATTCTAGATATCAAATCGTCTTCCGAACAGATATTTTCAGAAAATAGTCGTTAGGTGCCCCTGTCTTATCGGACTTGTAGGCCGTTAAAGTGGATTAAAACAAGATGAAAACTAATAATGGCAGTAGTCATAAACATAAACGTTGAAAAAAGCGTTTGTGTATGAAGTGAAATGATACAAAGTACGAAAGACACCGTTAAGTGAAATTTAAACAAATTCAACTGAGTTAATATTTGACGTCAAGGTTGGAAAAGGAGTGAGGAATTATTTTGTGTTGTATAAATACAGTCGAACCTCTTCACAACGGCCATTTTGAGGACAGAAGAAAGTAGCTGTTGTTAGACTAAGAGGAGATTTCCAGAAGAGGCCTAAAAAATGAAAAACGTAGGACACCCTCTACATATTTGGTCTGACATAAAAAAATGATAGGGCAATACCCATGTGGAGAGGTTGCCGCTACGGGAATGTAGGGGTGTAATATGACAATTTATTTTTACGGAGTACTGAACATGTTTATTGTGCCTTATTTCATGCTTACTGTATCCCATAATGTCAATCCAATCATATCTAATATATAGAGATAAAAAACAGAAAAAACTTGAGTAATTTTTTGAATCAAAATGTTAACGTGACAAAACGAGCAAGGTTCCCATAATTCGCTTCAAGTATGGTAGACAAATTTTGCCTACTGCAGCGGTGTAAATGGGACACAATCAAAATACGATCATCAACTCGCCATACGGATTAAATGTCATGACCATTGTTGACTTTTTCATCAGTCTCTGAAAAAGCTGGCCGTTGACGAGAGGTTATTTTGCCAGTTGAGGACATGCTTTAGTGGCCGCTGCCGTATGTAGAGAATGTAGAGAGGTTTAAACAACAGTTAATGTATTGACTGTCCGCTGGGACGAAAAAAGTGGCCGTTGTAGAGAGGTGGCGGTTAGTGAAGGTTCGACTGTATTCAGAAATTGACAGGAGCCTAGGTAGAGAGAAGCGCTTACTCATAGTTATGTTAGGTCGTTCTTTTTGTAGGCAACTTTACTGGGGCAACAATAATACCGGTTTCTAGAATATGTACTTTATTTCCGTGTGTTCTAGGCATGACCGATATGACTCTTTACGCATGTGTATCGGAGAGGAGCTCCATAGTAAACTGGCAAATCTGAGGTTATTCATGGTAAGCAACTTATTTTGTTTTTTGATAAGCTTATTGGGTTAGGCAAAGAAATGTATTTTTCCCCTTTCACACAAGCCAGAAAAAAGTACCGAGTTTTATTAAAGTCGGAGTAAGAAAGAATTGAAATCGGATGGTCAGTTTCTTGTTAAATTATTTAACAACAACAACAACAGCAACGAAAATTAATAAAAGTAACGTTATTCGACGTTTCGATGTATCCAACTTCAAAGTTGTTAAAAGAGTTGAGATTTGAATTCGTTTGATGGCATCTTGATAATGTTGTTGGATACATCGAAACGTCGAATAGCGTTTACCAACTTCTAATTCTTCTCGTTAAGAAAGAAATGAAGCTGCATAAAATACTCCTACCAAACGAACAACAAGACAACAACAGCAACAACAACAAAATACCCGCTCCTTATGACAAGTGAAGACAAGGGTGGATTGTAATTTCTTTTGGTCCTTACAGGGAGTGGGAGGGGAATTGGGAAATATTTTGCAGAAATATCAAGGAATTTTACCGACTAACCCCCCCTCCCAATAAATACAAGCCCTCTCACCTTTGTTAATATAAATTGTTGTTGTTGTTTTTTTTTTCAGGTTGGATGTGGTGCTATAGGGTGTGAGCTGTTAAAGAACTTTGCTCTTTTAGGAATTGCTGGAGGCGCGAATGGCATGGTAGTTTTCATTTTTATTTTAACACTCAGTGACGTGTTTCGCCATTTTGACTTTTGAACAGTTTTTGTTTGTAGTTTCTAGTTGAAGCATGTTATTATTTAATTTGCAGATGACGATCACAGACAATGACCTCATAGAAAAATCGAATTTAAATCGCCAGTTCTTATTTCGGCCTCATCATATTCAGGTAATAAAAGCATTCCACAGTTAACTCTCTCTCTCAACGGACATCTTAATGCAAAATGGACACTTAAGAGTCTGTTTATATGGAGCTGAGGGACCCCGGTTACCTCACCTACCTGGGTTCCCCACCTCCACGTAAACAGGCCCTTAGGGTTGGTCCTTGCCGTTTTTCAGTCAATTTCCTTGACTGTTCAAAACGGAAACCTACAGAGTTGGTCCCCGTCTTTCTTTACTTGTTTTAGTTGACTCTCTATAAGATAGACACCTAGAGTTGGGCGTATTTCGGCGTTATCATATTCAGTTGACAGAGAGTTTTCAGAAGTCAACCTTTCCTAACCGACAACTCAATGCAAAAAGGTCAACTAGAGTTGGTCCTTGTCGTTTTTCAGTCATGATTTTCTTTGACTCTCTATAAGGTGGTCGCCGTTCTCCACACTTTCTTTCAATCATGACGTGTCCGTCTTCATTATTTGGTTGATTTAGCAATGCCAACGTGACGGCAGTGACGTCGGCGCGCAGAAATCTACCAACTGGCTTGACCAATGGTAGTGAAGCAAATTGAGCGTCAAAAGTAACCTTCAGTCTTTTGGCGTGCTTTTGCGTTCTATTTGATGCTGCGGTGTGTTTGCTAAATCTTCCTTATCATTCATCCCTAAGAGTCTTCTCAGGCTACAATGTTGCTCCATACGTCAATATTCATCATACATACTCCTGCCTCTGCGGCGGAGGCAAGACGCGTGTCCCCTGTGAAGGGAATCCATGTACCTCCATAGAGACATAAGAGAGGTTAAGCGTCACGTTTACGTCAAACGGCAAACGCGAATTTGCACCACGTGACCAAGTTTCCCCTTTACTTGTCGTTTACTGTTCATTATTTCTACGCATAAATGAATAGTTTCACGAAATTTTTTATCCGTAAGAATTGTTTTGAGCTGTTTTTATCTGCTCATTTTCTATTTTGAGAAATTCTCAACTTGAATCTGACGTTTGCCGTATACGTGAAGCTTAAACTCTCTATTAAGCACTACATTTACGGCAAAGAGCGATGGACAGAGATGACCATGAAATGCTTTTTCCCGCCATTTTTTTTTTTGCGTTTGTCGTTTTCAAATTAAAGGCGTTGGTTTTTATGTTCATGAAAAACACTGCCGTATCCATTGAAGGATCTTATCCTTCAATATCATGCAGTTTCATTTCGCGTTGTAAATGAAAGAATTGATGAGATTACAGGGGGCGGACTGTCTGTGAAAACTGTAAAGATGAATGTTCATCTATCGGATGGCAGGGAGCTCTGAGTTTCCAGTCAATTTTGGTTATTCGCGTGCCGTTTGCCATTTGTCTGTAAACTTAGTGCGTAACTTCTCTAATATCTGACCCGTCGCGATACCTGGCCGTGTTTGGGCTCTCTTTACATCGTTTTAAAGAGAGTTGGAGTTGACTGCATTACAACTTATCACTGAAGCCAGTATAGATTTGCTGATGAAGACTGTTTCCTCTTTGTAATATTACGAGACCTTGAGACAATTGTTATTTCTGGCAAGTATTAGAAGACCCAAAGGTCAAGAATTAGCATTCATAGGATTGGTTTTTGTATTAACGAAAATTTTTTCCTCATTCTAGCAACCCAAATCAAGTACTGCGGCTTCGTCAGTTGCGCTTATAAACCCTGGTATGTCAAGACCAGAATTAATTACTGTTACTATTGTTTTGGAGGCTAGTCTCTGTTCCTGGCGGGATTGATATAATGCTTGGGATACTTTCTCGACTAAGGAACCGCTACACGAAGTGAAGGGCGAGGCTGCGGAGGAGAACACCTCGGGATTTCAGTTTGACTTGTTCCCTTCCTTCTCCGAGAAAAAAGCCCTCGGTTTTTCAATTAAACTTTTTCCCGATCTTCTCCGAGGGAAGATCCATCAGTATTTCCTTTTGACTTGTTCTCATCTTCTAGCGGCTCCATCGCCAAACAAAAATACAGCACTTTTTTGATACATTACAGCGCTCGCTCTCTCGCTAATCCCTCCAGCTGTGCAGGCTAATTGAGTGCTTGACAAACAGAAAGCGAAAGAGGCTTTTTGCTCGCCTGAAAATTAGACAAGCAATCTTTTACCTTGTTAAATCAATCTTTCTCTACACCTTTCAGATGTTCATGTGGATCCGCATCAACACAAAGGTAATTTATTAGAAAGCTCTTTATGCCTTCAGGAAGCAAATTATCAATTGGCTGTGTTTCGTCTAGCTCAAAGTTGAGAAGCTAAACAACATTGATATTATCTTGTAACATAAGAAGGCTATGCCACACAATTATGAAATTGTTGGCAAAGATCACGGAAATGCGCATCATTTCGTGCGGTTGGGACTAAGGGAAATCTGAGTCTCCTGAGGAATTCGAAAAACAAGGCGCTCGGCCTCATTCATTCTTTAGATTTTGTTCGTAATATCTGTCTCTGAGCCCTAAAAGTTATCGGGACTTTCAAGAAACGGGGCCCCAGGGCTTGTTACTTGAATTTCACTGAATATGACGTGCGCCCTGTGTACTGCTGTGGCAAAACTGTCCAGTGTGGTGAAAAATAAAGCGAGGTGGTAAATGTTAGCATCAGTGAAAAAAAAAGAAACAAAACAAAGAAAACAACAACAACAAAATGGATGGGTTGACGAACGTTCATGTACAAAGGGCCGCTACTGTGAATCAGAATTGTAATTTGAATAAACCTTTCCTTTCGTCCCTGTACGTTTTTGTCACTTCTGTTTTTTCTTTGTCTTTACAGTGTGCCCAGAAACAGAAGAAACCTTATACACAGATCAGTTCTTTGAGTCTCAGGACATTGTAGTAAATGCTTTGGACAATGTAGAGGCTCGACGCTACATGGATAGGTCAGAAATCACTTAATCCGGTCTTTCTGTTTGACAGTCAATTCTAGATACTATCACCTCCCCCACTTCTCCCCACGGATCGACAAACTGCCGGAATCCCCCTCGGTATGAACCAATTTCGCAGGGCTGTATGGAATTAATGGGGTGTCGAGGCATCAGACATCCCTCTAAGCTAAACACCGTTCAAAGAGTAGCTGGCCAGTTTCGTCCCTGTTTTACTTATGTACCTGTGGCTACTCTTTCTATAAGGCTTGGAGCCTCCCTAAAAGTCCTTCAGATACATAATCGTGCGTAGGAATTCGTTTGGATTTTCATTCACCAAAGTTTTATAAAAGACACCAAATTAAATAATTGCTTCAACCTCATTAGAAAATTGCATCGCCTTCCTCCGCATTCAATTTACCACCTCCCTCCAAACGACGTCGACCTTGACACCCCATAACCTGCATCGTTATGATTTGTTATAGATGTCTGATTCCAGTAAGAAAACTGCAGGGAACTAAGCCTCATAGTGACTACGCAGACAAATGCCCAGCCATAAGCTGTAACCTTGCATTGACACCCTCTTCTAGTCAAATGCATGGGTTTGTACCTGTGATGGATGATAGTTTAATTGAACCTCACTCTTTGTTATCCTGATGGCTGAACCTTTCCCTCCCTTGCTCATTTTTGGCGTACTCGAAAAAGGCTCTGCATGAACCGAGTGAGAACTTTGTTGAGCATGCGCTGCATGTTGCTGGGATACAGTTTCGAACCCAGGCCTAACAGCCGTGCACTTGGTACAGCGGGCTCAGTTATGACCAGGCATTTTTTATTCAATAAACGGATGCTCGCACTCTTAAAACCAGTCGAAAGAGAGAGCAAGATTAACTAGTCCAGAAGCCAATTCAGGCAGAGCCTCGGCCTCGTTTTCTCCTACTCACTCAAGAAGACAAAAAAGGCTCTACTCGCACGATGACTCATCGGTACATAACTTCCTGAACCTTGATAGTGGCAATCTACTCTTACATTTTCTTGTATTTTTTTTTTACCCACAGTCGGTGTGTGAGCACCCAGAGGGCCCTTTTGGAGTCAGGAACCATGGGACCTAAGGGACATGTTCAGGTAAGACGATCTTTGGCTAATGTACCATTTTTGGGTTTTGCAGTACTCATGGTATTTATTATAGTTACACAAATAAAGGTTGTTGCTGTTGTGTACAATTTGTACTCTAATTTAGTTTTTTTTACCTGTCGTGAATCTTATTATTATTTTTTACTCAGACTCAATTAAAAAGAAAAAAGTATGATCTTTTCAGTTTCTGCGAGGTTATTCATCTACTATGCTTAGTCCAGGTTCACCGAACGGGTACTTGACGTATTGAAGCTTAAGTTTGAATTTTTCCCTCTGGGTCGAAAAAGAATTCGATAAAGGAGCCTTAAGTGGTTTGGGTGTACTCGTTTTAGCTTATTTAAGGTCCCTTTTCTTGTTGTTTAGCCTGAAGTTTTTGGATGTGTAAAGGTGCGCTTCAGAGTACATTTAGGTTCTGTTGTTTTGGTGATAAAAAATGAAAACGCTTTCAACCTGGCCTATCGTAATAGTTTATAAATATTTTACAATAGGTGATTGTTCCTCATCTCACAGAATCGTATGCTAGTCAGGTAAGATATCGTTAGATTATTGGTTATATCATTTCACTATGGCAAATCAAGAAAACTGTTAATAACAATAAAATAATAATAAAATATTTATATAGCGCTTATACTTTTCAGTGCTAAAACTAAACTGTTCTGAATCGGTCTGGAAAAGGTTGACATGCGCTTCCATTTTTCTTCTGTTGTAGTCGTTAGGTTTCACCATTCTGGTCCATCAAAACTTGTACGTAATAGTGCATTTCGTGTCTTCAGCCTGCGATCGTTGAGTTGAAAATAACGAAAATGCTTTGCTTGTAGTAGAAGGTCCTTCAGCTATATTTAAGCTATGGTTAACAACCACTCCACTCAAATAGTCGAACAAATGACTTAAAATAACGTGATTAAGTACACTAAACAGTTGGCTATTTACAAGCTTGGTTGGGGACTAGAACTTGGGACTACCAAGAAACAAACTCCGATAGTATTGAGAGCAGAACTCGAGACCGGACCCTCAGAATGTATGTACGAGGCGCTCATCAGTCGTCGATATGGCTTCCCTCCCAAAAAGACAAAGAGTTATTGATTTTTTTTATTTGTAATCATTTTGTATGTGTCTCTTTTCAAGCGCGACCCGCCAGAGGAAGACGTACCCCACTGTACACTCAAGTCATTTCCAGCTGTTATAGAGCACACAATACAGTGGGCCAGGGATAAGGTAAAGCTATTAGAGAGGTTAAGCATCAAGTTTACGTCAAACGGCAAAGGCGAATTTGTTCCACGTGACCAAGTTTCCCCTTTACCTATCATTTACTGTTCATTATTTCTACACATAAATTAGTAGTCTCACGCAATTTTTTATCCACAAGAATTATTTTGAGCTGTTTTTATCTGCTCATATTCTATTTTGAGAAATTCTCAACTCGAATCTGACGTTTGTCGTTTGCCGTATACGTGAACCTTGAACTCTTTATTCGCCACTGTAGAAACGAGAAGGGGAGAAGAGCCGAAATGTGTCCCGCAATTGTTTTTGGGTTCATTACTGGGGACCCGCCGGTCAGGTTTTGGCCAGTTTTTTTCCCTGCCCTCAGTAACAGTCCCAGAAGTCTTTGTAAGAATTAACTCGGCCCAGTTTCCTTCTCGTTTCTAAAGTGGCGAATTGATACTCGTAAAGCTGTAAACCAAAGTAATTTGTCCTCTGGCCAATCACATTACACGCGGTCAGTCCTATGAACCAATCATTACTAAGAGCTAATTCATATTCATGTGGCTGGCATCAAGCGCGGGAAAATTACTGAAAAATGCGGGAAAACGCGTGCAACCGAATGGCGATTGTCTTGGTGTTCACTTTTGATTGGCGGAGAAAGTCGTACAGAGTGTTTTGTTAAACAGTCTCGAGGAATAGGCATGAGAAGTCAAAACATTCTCAAAATTAGGCAATTTCTGAACTGCACCAAGCCTCTTCTTGAGTTCGAGGGTAAGAACGACGCGGTTGTTGTTTGACCTTAAAAAGGAAACACGCGAACAAATCTTGAAAACTAAAAGTGCTAAGAGTATAGATGGTTTTCACAGTGACGTCATCAAATTGTAAAATCAAAATAACGAGGTTGTACAAATTCTCATTTACACTAGGTTGAATTTAAACAAAAAGTAAATCTTTGTACAAGTTTCCATTGCCGTAGCATGTTTCATTTCGAAATACAGCAATTTGAACTTCCGAGTTTTTACAGTGCGGGACACCAAAATGGAAATGCTGTCTCGTTGAAAAAAAGTCTCTCCTCTTGATTTTCAGCGGTATAACTATTTCAAGTATTAGAAGATATGTTTATGTGTACGTATGCTAGTTCTCGAGTAAAAAGAAAGAGCTTTTATAGAAATATTGAATTCCAGATGTTTTTGTTGATTTCCGGCGGCCATATTGGTGCACCAAAACGGTGCACCAATATGGCGTTTCCATACAAACCTCTACAAAGGTGCGTGAAACGTTTCGGCAAATAACTCAGAAACTGCGGGCCACAAAGACCTGAGACTTGGACAAATTGTTTATATATTAGCCTTTTATAGCATTTAATTTTCTTGGCTTCTTCTACTGGACAGTTTCCAATTTATTTTTTTGTTGCGTGACAGTGAAAACGATCTATAAGGATATGATTGGTTGTGCGAACAGACTCAAATGAGCAAGGTTTTTGGTTGATTTAGCTAACATGCAACGTGTCCCTAGCTGCAAAACGTTTACCGTAGAGTAATTTCCGTAACTTTGTGCAACGGAAATTGGGCTGCCGATTGAACAGTCGAAGGATGCTTATTCCGTCTCAGTGTTTTCTTTGGCGGTAGAATATTTTGAACGTTTTTACTATTGGCTGATAGAGTAAACAACGAACACTTGTGGAAACCATTTTTTAAGATCAAAGGAAACTCGCTCTATTTTAGATATCTTCAAATGAAACCCTTTTTCACATGAAAGGTTTTGCACCTGGCTTCGTTTTGAAAAAGTGAGGGTTTTGGAAACTGGGAAACGGCGTATAATTCATGTCCGTTTGGATATGAGGATTTTCTAACGGGCAATTTTTAAGAACGTAAGTTTCCTATCCTCTGTTGCTACCACTCTGGCAAGCTACTGCAAAATATTTTGGCCGTGTTTGTTTATTATATGCTTTTAAGAATCTATTTTTTCAATATCTTTTAGTTTGAAAGTTCCTTTGCTCAGAAGCCCGGACTGTACATGACATTTTGGTCAACGAATGGATCTCCTGAAAAGCTTTTGGAAGTAAGTTGAACATTATTTTTTTACACGATAAAAGTGTCTGTAGCTAGTATTTAGCATCGACTGTGGTTGTTTTCCCCCAAAGAATTCACTTTGCGTTTCATTTTAGCTTGTAAGAATTTTTTAGCGCAACTGATATTCTCGCCATTAATCTCAAAAACAAAAACAAAAACAAAACAGAAAAACACATCACCACAAAAATAACCACAGTCTTGTCTGATCAAGAGTCTGCACCTTATTAATTCTGGCAGTAAGCAGTTGAAACGTCGTGATCTTTTAGCCTGCATTTCAGACATCCCCTCGAGTCCGAAACTCCTCTCATTATGCGACTCGAAGGGATGTCTGAAATACAGGTTGCGCGATCTACATCAAAAGTGACTACAATCATACTTTATTTTTATTAACAACAGACAACTCCTCAAAACGACGGCCCTAACTTATTTCCTTAGTAATCAGAAGAAGGTCAAATTCAGCTTAGGCTGATATAAATGGAGGCCCGCGGAACGAATTTTTCAACGTATAATCAACTAATTAATTAACATTTGACTAAATAAATGACTAATTAATTACGTGCAACCTATGACTAAATATTGAAATGAATACACTATAAATGTCCTCACAGTTCAGTCAACTACTGCTGGACATATTCACATCAACTGGTAACAGAAATGCAGACTTAGACCCTTCTTAAATCTCAGAATAGATGTTTCTTTATTAAGTGATCTAATTTTCGCTACCTTACTTTTTAGTCTGAGCATAGTTGTTTAAGTGGAATGGTTATGAAGCCCGTTAGACTCCTTTGTTACATGTTTTTGTTAGCTTTCTTGGCCCTGACCGTGCACAATGTTCAATAGCATTCCTATTATTTTGAACTTTCTTACCAATGGAGACATCGCATTCATTTATTCAGTCACAATTTATGAACAAAAAACAAAGGTTTGTACATGGTCAGGGAGCTTCCAACATAAACTACAGCACCGTTGTTTTAAACTTTGATGTTTGCCGGCTTTCATAACCAGTCGCCTCTACTAACTATGGTCTGAGGAAACAGCCGACATTTCACGAAGCCACCAACGGTTTCCCCGCGAAATGACGTCTGAAGGACGAGCGCAGAAATTCTATATTGATGACGTGTCACTACCCAGATCTTGGTAGTGCTTCTGATTGGCTGAAGCAAATTTTAAACCAATCAGAAGCACTGCACAGATCTGGGTAGTGAAACGTTGTCAGCATGGAATTTCTGAGCTCGTTCCTCAGACTTGGCACAGATTTCGCGGAGAAAACTGTTAGTGGCGTCGCGAAATGTCGGTTGTTTTCTCAGGCTTCTTTCACCTTTTGCCTTTGACCTTTTCTTTCTTGTTTTCTTGTAGACACTTCAGTCTGGAAACGAGCCTGAAGGCGTGTACCGAGTTTTAAAAGTGTTTAAGCGGCGCCCTGTGGACTGGGCGGGCTGCGTCGCACAAAGCAGAATAGACTTTGAAAAGTACTACAACCACAAGGTAACAACTAAGTGGGAAAGGCGGGAACACAATACCAGAAGGCACTGTACAAAATGGCGAGAAATCAGTGTCGTTTCGTCATTGGGGCCGGCCATTTGACTTTTGAGGAGGGTATTGGTAATTTGGTTTGGGTAAGAATTTTTTTTTCCTAAATCCCTGGTGATAGATTTTTTTCCCGGGGCCATGAAACGGATGTTTCAGGCTGTCTAGTGGGAGATGGGGGAGGTGTTAGGGTGAAGAGAAGGCGTTCACCTTATACCTTTTACTTGTCAATCTTTTCCAGGCCAAACAACTACTGCATGCGTTTCCATTGGACACTAGACTCAAGGACGGATGTGAGTATATCATGATTCCCTGAAGGCATATCAGCCATTTATTTAGCCTTTCCGACAACCGTTTTTCCTCGCCAACTAGGCAGATTTCGCAAAGACAACCCAACATCCAATGATAACGCGAAAGCGGCGAAAGGGACTGAACACGACTTCGGGTGGTCAATTTGCCACCCTGTCATTGGTTAAGACGGTTTTTAGATCTGCACGCGCCGTGGTCACTGTGTACCGCGTCGTCTTTCCTAAATCTACCTAAATAACTGCAGAAATACGTCCGCCATGCATTCTTATTCTCAAAAATATTTCTTCTTGTAGCACTTTTCTGGCAGAGCCCAAAGAGACCGCCCATCCCACAGGAATTTAGCAGTAAAAATGAACTGTAAGTGTATCTTATTTCACACGCTGGTCTCCTTTGATTTGCAGCAAAACACCTTATGTTTATCTCCGACATTCTGTAATTTGAGTGATATCGAAAACAACAGTAACAACAACAACAACAACAAACGAAACAAAAAACACGGTAGCAGTTTTCACGTGGTGTAAGGGACGGACCATTAGAAAAGTTATGGGGGGCGGGTGGGGAATTTTCTAGTCGCAAAAAGTTTTTTCGTTATCAAATTCCTTGAATGAACTCTTTTAAGGTCATAGCATGAATATTTTTAGGGTTAATTGGCGTGCATTAATTTTCCCTTGCGCGAACATTTTTTTTGTACTTCGCCCCCCCCTCATAGGTTTTCTAATGGTCCGTCCCTAAATAATTGTAAAACTATAGCCTGCGAATACAGCTCAGTCTTCTCTCCTCGCTCCTCACCGCTAGGGACATTCTCCTGTGCAATGGGCCCAATGGGAAGTGAGATGAGACGGCTGTATTTGCAGGCTAGTTAAGTGCCAAGTGAAGCCATTGTTGTACGTGTTCTCTCTGTTACTGCCAAAAACGGCAAGCAACAAAAAAATAGAGGCTAGTTGTTACGACACAAGTTTAAAACACGAGGCACAGCAACTGCGAGTTTATTGAACGGCTTAAAATTTTTTTCTTCTAGATTCATGCATTTCTCAAATACATCTTATTTAATTTATTTCTCCCGAGAAAATCAGAAATAGAAACTCCATCGTGTTTTATCAGATTTAAACACACGAGTTGAAATTCTAATTCCCTCTGTATTCTCTTCATGAAGTATAAATGCTTTTTTTAATTCCATTTTAGGCATATGCTTTTCGTGAAAAGTAGCAGCAAACTGTTTGCCGATATTTATGGAATCAAATACACAAAAGAGGTTCGTCATACTAAAGCTTGGTTCCTAAATAATCATGTAAATGAACCGAATTCACCACTTTCGGATTGTCCATAATATACGTTCCCCCCCCCCCCCAAATTTTGTAGTAATCAATTTCTCGTGGGACGACTATAATTTTGAAAATACGAAACATGTATGCAAAATTTGGGGAGGGGGGTATAAACAAAGTGTATTCAGTGGACAATTCGAAAGTGTATGTTAGGTCGTCTTAAAATGTATTCGGGCGTTAAAGACAATCTTATGGGAACATCTCTAATGCGAAACGGGACGATCCGGACGATTGCTGGGCGATAGCAATCACCTGGATTGAACTTTGGTCTATTTACAGGCTGGTTTTCATATAATGGTTCTGATCTTACCTGTATCGCTCCAATCGAAAAAAATCTGTTCAGTCAATTAAGGCGATTATATGGACTGAAACACCTCTGATGTAATCACGGATGAACCTGACTATTGGGGTGCTCGTTTATATCCTGGATAGGCAGAAGTCTATGTAAAAACTAGTTGGATCATTATACGTGTCTAGGAAACTGCCCACGTACCCCTCCACTAAGCCAACATTTTGCCCTAATTGGTAAGTAAGTGTTAATGTTGGTTTAGGGGAGGGGCAGGGAGGGGCAGGGAGGGGTAGGTGGGCAGTCTTCCAGAAACGTTTAATGATTCGACTAGTTTCCATTTAATCGTGCGGTGGTCTCGATTGCCCAAGTCGCCTCAACTCTCAAAATGGGTTCAGAAAACATCTGACGCAATGAGGCTTCCGGGGGCAATCGCTTGGAAAGATGGAAGTCTTGTTTCCATTTAATCCTTCGTATGGTCTCGATCGTCACAATTGGCCCGAAAAACTCCAGGCACTCGAGATTACTCGGACGATTCTATGGAAACTAGACTCGAATTCTCGTGTGAGTGTTCCAGTGAGAAGAATATCGTGTGTCAGTTGAATTTCCCCTTTTCACCCTTGCGTTTTCTTGGAATATGTAAACGTGGATCGTACTCATTTCTTTAGCTGTTTACCCTGCGAGCTTTGGCTACATTTTTGCGGTGTGAATTGGCGCGCTAAAAGTTAGCCTGCGCGGGGCCCGTTCTCTCTTGCGCCTACTTTACGTTCATGCATCTGTTTCGTAGGCTAATGTCTGGCTTGTGTTCAAATCCATCAACCGCATGAAACCAATTAACCTATTATCAGAATAAAAACTCGTGCAACTGAAATTCTCTAGTTCTCGAAATGCCAACGGGATCACTTACTCCTGCCTTTGGCCAAAATATCTTAATGTAAAGGTAGTTTTAGGTATCGTGGCGCAAAAAGACACTTGAAACACCTCTGGCGGTCCATCCGAGAATGCTCATGAAGTTTTCCATTTCTTCAAACAGGATTTGACTGATAATAGCATTGTTAAAACACTTGAGAGTATACAAGTTCCAGTGTTCAAACCAAGCTCAAAGGTAGGTAATCTTACTTCTATACACTCGTAGATTGTACCTAGAAAGACAGGGTATTGGTTGTGTGAGGGTCAATCAGTGGCAAAAGTAGTTGACATTTTTGTCTAAAACGCGCGCTTTTATCAACAGTTTCATTTATGCATCATACAAGTCTGTTTAAACGCTGTAGTCACTCAGTTCCGAATCAATGTTGTTTGAAGTTGAACAAAGACGTGATGGTTTAAAATGCAACATTGGTTTGGGGGGAGGGGTGGTGGTACACTGACACGGGGGAGGGGATAGATATGTCTACTATGCAAAAAGGGGTCGTTTTATGGAAGTGCCTCAACACTTGTCCCTTATTTCGGTTACAAGGAAACTCTTACTGGTTAGTATATTGCGGGTGCGATCGTTTTCGAACCGCACCCTTTTTCATTTGTCAAATACTGTTTAAAAAGCGAGTAGGAGTGTATTATCAGGTTCAAATACTCGAGGCGAACGGCTTCAAAATCTCTGATATAGATCAACTCATTCTTGCACTAATATTTATATTCGGCGTTACTTTGGTCTTAAAAAATTGGACGTAAAGTTTAGCCGTGTCTCTATCAGATATAAAGACACTCCGTAAACAGATCAGAATTTTTTTTGTTTTTTCGTTTTGAAGTTTTAGCGGCTCGTTTATTTGACTTCAAATACACACTACACTAATCAACATGTACTTGTCACAATTTTGTGTCCTCCACGATCTGTTCGAAAGCCAGCTGTCTATAAAATCCTTCGGTTCGCAATGTTAGCGGTTGTGTCATAACTACATTTCTATTTTATGTCTTCCTTCGTTAATCTCGGGTCTCACTGGCTGTCTTCAGAAACAACTCCAGCAGAGCGCTTGACGAAACTTAGGAAGTCGTAGCACGTACACCACTGGATTGATAAAAAAGTGAGAAGAGCTGATGACTACAAAAATGTAATATGTATTGAGAGACATGGAAATCTCTTTAACCGAGTATAAGTAGTTCACGATGATTAAAGGTAACCACGTGATGAAAGGAAAAATCGACACAAACAACAAGGTGTTTGTTAAGCGTTGGTTTTGAATGGCTCTGTTTGGCAAATGTGAAGATGGATTACTGCGCCCTTGAACCTTCCTCCAAATGGCGATGTTGCAGCCGGAAAGGATAAACAATAGCGTGAAGGTGTATAAAGTCCAGAAATAAATGGCAAGTTTGTGAGAAGTCATGTCATATGAAAGATTTACAAGCAGGGAAATAACGGCAGCCACTGTCCAAACTATAAAAATAGCGATACGATAAACTCGTATGGACAATGTTCTGTGTTTCAGTGGCCAGTAAACAGCGTACAGCCTCTCAAATGATATCGAGGCTACAGATATTAGCGAGGCCTGAGAGAAAATGACGTCGACAATTGCGAAGGAAATGTGCCAAGTTATCTCTACCTTAGCATCCCATAACCCAAACTGATTTCCTACGTAAAAGTAAATGTAACTTGGTAGTGACAGAGCTCCTATCATTAGGTCTGCACACGCCATACTGAAGACAAAAAACAAGCATCTTTTACGAAGCTTCTTGGTCACCGCGAAAAGGAAAAGTGAGAGCACGTTCGATGCTACTATTAAAGCAGCCTCAGTTGCCAACACGCTGCAAAATGCCACTCCTTCGACCTTCGAAGGAAACAATTTGTCTGAAGACGCCGAAGATGAGTTGTCTGGGCGAATGATAGCTGAAGTGTTGTTCATTTCTTGGTTTAACGTTAACACCCATAAACTTTTTATAAGGAGAACTGTAAAGAATAAATTACGTATAAACCACAAGCGCTAACTGACACCACACTCACAACTAATAAGAAAACCATCTGCGTCTATTTTTCAATACAGAGTATTTCCCTAAAATGATTAATTTAGGTCGGCGTCGCTAATCATCTCTCAGTATCCCGCTATTCGTGTTTTAACGTTGCTGCAAAAATTACCATATAAAGTATTTTGATGGTCTCACAATTGTCACATTTTTGCTTGGGTCTTTTGGAAGATTCATTTTTTCTATTATTTCTTGTGTTTAAAGTCCAGTCTTTTGGCTTACTTACGAATCGTTTTTGGCTACTGACCGTTTTCAAAGTCTATCCGTTCTTTGAGCCTTCGAAAACTATTTGATCCATGTGAAATTCTTCGTCCAGATTTGTTTGTCGTTAATCGCCATTTTAGATCATGCACAGACGTCATACCGTCCATCGGGAAATTAACGGGAAGCTCAAAAGCCCGAATAGAGTCGCATTATTGCTGTTTTATTAATACAGAGATTAAGAGTCACATTTATCTCAAACGGCAAACGTGAATTTGTACCACGTGACTAAGTTTCCCCCTTAATTGTCGTTTACTGTTTATTACTTCTACACAAAAATAAGTAGTTTCACGCCAGTTTTATCCATATTAATTGTAAAACAGTTTTTATCTGCTCATTTTCTATTCTAAGAAATTCTCAACTTCAAACTGACGTTGCCTTTTGTCGTTGAACGTGACTCTTAGGCGTTTTCCTTTCAACACAAAATTCCGGAAAGTTCGGTTGGTACATCAGATGGAACAGTTTGGTCCGACCGGAATATCCGGGACCAGCTTTGAAGGTGGTCTACTTTGACCGGTCTGGTCATCTCGGTCGGTGGGACCGAAATGTCCCTTTCCATTTGACAAAATTTTTGTCCCCAGTACTCCTCTTTTGTATCATACAAACGTGAACGTGGATGATGATGATGATGATGATGATGAGGAGGAGGAGGAGGAGGAGGAGGAGGAGGAGGAGGAGGAGGACGTAGTTCTTGGAAAAGTGTAGACCATGTAGCTTTTGCAGCACAGTTTCCTAGGCGACCGAATGCTTTGGAATAGTCAGCTAACACAGCCATATTAACTTCTCCTTGTTGCATAGCCGGAAGGATGTCATCCCTCGTAGCTAGTGGCACTGTGCTGGTATTGTGTCCTTTCCTGTAAGCGCTTAGGGTTTCTTTAAGAACTTCCCCCGAAGAATGTGATAGAACATCAGCCTTCTGACTTCTTCTGGCGATCTGCTGCCATGTTGACAAATTTAAACGGGAGATTGTCCGGCCCGCAATAGCAATCTGATCGCAATTTCTTTGTCTCCTGTAAACCACTGAACAGGAGATCGGCCGTAGATGGAAGGAAGTATCACCGTCCTCGGGAAAAGAGTTAATCAACTAAAGAAGAGCTTCAGCTGATTTTAAAGTGGCGCCAATGGATCGCTCCGGGATAGACGCAAAGTAGGTATTCAACTCGGTAGGGTCGAAAGTTCGCGGATGCGGCCTGGGGTGTAGAATTCTATGGATGACTTGCCACACCTGTTTTGGTGTCGTAGGCGAAAGTGCTTTGTGTTAAAAGTTGCTCTTGGTTGGATTCCCCATTCTGTAGCCAAAAATTCAGTGCGGAATCTGGATTTCCTTGTATGGGGCGATTCTTTGAGCTCTTAATGGTTCATTGAAATTTTAAATTCTGCTAGTACGTTGTAACTGGTCAAGGTAATAAGTTAATAAGTAATAAGTAATAAGTTTAAATTGTAAGTTTTGCGAGCGTTGCGCAATTCAAATGTAATAATTTAAGGTTCATTCCCGGAGTATGGTTGCTGCACTTGCCGACGAGATGCCAGCTGATAACACTCGTGTTCTTATCAACATGTACTTGCCACAATTTCGTGTCTTCTACGATCTGTTCGAAAGCCAGCTGTCGATTAAAGCCTTCGGTTCGCAATGTTAACGGTTGTGTCGTAATGCCATCTCTATTATGTCTTCCGTCGTTAACTTCCCTTAATGGCTGTCGTCTAAAACAGCACCAGCCGAACGCGTGGCGAAACTCAGGAATTCGTAGCACGTACACCACTGGGTTGATAAAATAGTGAGAAGAATTGATAATAACAAAAATGTAATATGTATTGAGAGACATGGAAACAACTTCAAGCGAGTAGAAGTAGTTGACGATGATCAAAGGCAACCACGTCAGCAAAGGAAAAATCGACACAAACAACAAGGTGTTTGTTAAACGTTGGTTTTGAATGGCTCTGTTTTGCAAATGTGAAGCTGGATTACTGCGCCGTTGAACCTTCCTCCAAATGGCGATGTTGCAGCCGCAGAGGATTAACAGTAGCGTGAAGGCATATGAAATCCAAAAATGAATGGAAACCTTGTGAGAAATTATGAAATATGAAAGGTTGACGAGCGCGGAAATAAGGGCAGCCAGCGACCAAACTATAAAAATAGCCAGGCGATAAAGTCGCACCGACAATGTTCGGTGTTTCAGTGGCCAGTAAACAGCGTACAGCCTCTCAAATGATATCGAGGCTGCAGATATTAGCGAGGCCTGAGAGAAAATGACTTCAACGGCAACGAAGAATATGTCCAAAGATAGTTCTACGTTTGCTTCCCACAACATAAACTGATCTCCCACGTAAAGGTAAATGTAACCCGGTAGCGACAGAGTTCCTATCATCAAGTCAGCACACGCCATACTGCAGACTAGAAACAAGCTCCTCTTACGAAGCTTCTTCGTCACCGCGAATAGGAAAAGTGTGAGTAAGTTTGATGCGACTATTAAAGCAGCCTCTGTCGCCAAAACGCTGCAAAATGCCACTCCTTCGACCTTTGAAGGGAACAACTCGACTGGAGATGTTGGAGATGAGTTGTTTGGGCGAATGGTCGCTGAGGTGTTGTTCATTTCTTGGTTTAACGTTAACACCATTAAGGAGAACTGTAAGGAATAAACCACAAGTGCTGATAGACACCACACGCAGAACTAATAAGAAAACTCCATCTGCGTCGCGTTTTCAATTTGTTTTTCTCGAAATGACAGTTATTGTAATTAGGTTTTCTCCTATGGACTTTCGTTATGTTCATGAACAATAAATAGTGTTTAAAGTTGACAGAATTATTCTTAGAGTGCGTAGTTTACCATAAAAAAAGAAAAGAAAAAAGAAAAAGAAAACAGGTCTTACGGGGATAGCCCCTTCATTAGTGTGTTAACACGAGTCCGTTACCAAATGGATGGGATCCGATACTTGTTTGGGAGCGAACCATTTTCGTCCACATTGGACCGTTCCATTAGGAGGGTCTGTTCACACAGGATCGGTTTGACTTTTTAGTACGCGAATGGATCAAAATGAGTAAAGCGCCAGTTTCTACTGGCGCAGAATACACGTTTCCAGATTTCACCTTGGCCGCTGATGATAACAAATTTATCAAATCAGATAAGTCGTACAGCTGGACGCACAATCCATTATCTCCTCTCCTGAAAATTATAGCAGATTACAAAGCCGATAAGACTCCAAACGAAAAAGATCGGGAAAGAGTGAAGGAGTTGAAATATGGAGATATTATTGTACAGTTTCAGTTTTCGTCAAAATATGGCACTGAGCACGAAAAATTTAGTACTTAGGAATTCTAAATTTCGCTGGCCTGGTAGTAGCGCGAAATAAACCAGTCAAGGTGTTTACTCGGTGCCAGACCCATTTGGAGTCGGAACGGTTCCAAAATAGAACCCGCTTTTTTGCAGGTCCAAAAATCGGATCCTATTGGGAACGGATAAACAAAAGGCGTATTAGTCTCGGTTCTTTTTGGATCGGATCCATTTGGAATCAGCTCTGTCTTAATATAGCTTTCAAGGGCCTGTTCGATTGACCGTATTCCGCAATAAGAATAAATTGAATAAACTCTACAATTAATTTGTTTTGGCTTTCATTGTTTTGCAATATTTATAAAAAAATTCTGATCTATGTTAAGCTTAAATGGTTGAAAATCACGGTAGAAGAGAATTGTAACAAAACTCGGGCGCATTTTCTTATTCTGGAATAAGATTAATCGAACGCACCCTAAGTAGAGCCCCCCCCCCCCCAAAAAAAAAAAAAAAAAAAAAACTTCCACCCCGTTTCTCTTTCTTTTTTTTTTTTTTATAAAAAAATTCTCCCCTTCTTTTTTTTTTTTTTTTTTTTTTTTTTTTTTTTTTTTTTTTCTTAATATTTTTTTTTTTATATTATATTAATATAATTTTATTATATTTCTTTCTTTTTTTTTCTTTTATTATTAATTANCATAAATTACAATTTAAAATATCATTCTTGACACTCATAACGTCACATTTTCTTCCAGGGTCATTTTGTCAACAGTACTTTTTTCTACTAACCCTAATGGGTCAGGTCCGGTCTTACGGATTTTGTTTTGGTCTAACTGAGAGCCTAGCCTGATTCTCAGACGTCCGAGGTCGCTTCGAAAGGGACCGCGAACGACCTCGGACGTCTGAGAATCAGGCTAACTGAGAGCCCTAAAAAGAAAATGTTCACTCCATAAAGGCCACTAATATGGTATTTTAAAATGTACGAATGAAAAGATGGGAATGTTCATTCACGCAAGTGCTGCACGAAAATCAACAGAATGAATGAGCGGATTCTTCCTAACAAACCAGTCAATTTTGTTGTGTTAATTGATAATTTCATCAGATATTCTGCAAAAATGTAGTAAACACGCGATCTTGACTGTAAACTCAGCAAACGGAGTGCACCTTTGCGTGCTCGGTAATTACCGGGACTTCCGGGGGTGGGTGTACTCAACAAAGTTTCATTCGGGAAGGCTCTGCCCCAAGGTCCAACCCCTTACCTTTTCATATACCGTCTTTGATAGAAAATGTACCCTTTTCGTTTACCATCTATTGGTGACCCTTTTACATAACTAGTTAAGAACTTTACATTACCCTCTAATACTGTAAATGACTGTATTATGAATATGAATAAATCACAAAACCAAAAGGTTTTCTCGACCACTTTACAGCCATCAAAAGCATCTTTTAGCTCTTTTGGGCCTTTTTACAGACCGAAGTGACTGATTTCTCTACCCTTTCAAATACCTGAAACCTGAAAATGATACTCCCTTCGGGCGGAGCCTCCCCGACTATCCATTATAGGGAATACCACCCCCGCCCCCACCCCCTCGGCTGGGACTTTTGAGAAACAGGCATCCTGTATATTTGACTGGATTATTTTCGTTTCCTGTGATGGGGTTTAAGACGCTTAAATAAATAAATTCTAATGTTGCTTTACTTTTCAGGAAATTGAAACCGATGAAACAGCCCAAAAATCCGCTCAAGCACCTTCTTTTGACGTAAATAATTTAATAGCAGTTCTCAAAGCTTTAATAGCAAGCGGAATCAAATCTAGCACAGGTAGGGAATAACACAGTTTTTTTTATGATATTTACTTATCGTTTCTTATATCCTACTGCCACATTTCAGCTTTGTTGTAACTTCAAACATAAATAGTAGCAAGTTTTATCGATTGTAATTTTTTTTTAAAAATAATGTATAATTTTAACATAATCTCAAGTGGATATTAAACTGGCGAAAGGGATCACTCGGCGTCCCTCTACGAGAACAACATTTTTTACTATTTGTGTTGTGCAACAAGTATTCCCTTTTTTTTTTTTTTTTTTTTTTTTTTATTTTTTTTTTTTTTTTTTTTTTTTTTTTTTTTTTTTTTCAATTTATTTTAATTCATTTGCTATTCCAAAGTACAACAATTACAACAATTACAATTATTATCACAAAGCATACATGCACAAACTTACTACACACCTAAGCACACGTGCAATTCCACAATTACACACAAGGTAATGCCTACTGTTATTAACAAGTGCTATTCAAAAAAGAAGAAACTAATCATTTTTTCAAAAGAAGAAAAACTACCTAGATTACAAAGTCCATTTGTCCATTAATTTTTGTAAATTCTTATTCTTAGTGAAAATATATTTTTCTATTTCATATTTACCGTTTATTCTAACTATAAAACTGTTTATGGTTGGGAGTAGTTCATTCCTTCTGCAACTCCATAAATATATTTTCCCTATAAGTATCAGATAATTAAGCAAGGGGCATTCAGAAGATAAAAAGCCGATCCAAATTTCCTTTAATGTTAGGTGAACTAGTTGTTTTCGCAACCCAAAATAATATGATTCAACACATTTCCAAAATGAATTCAAATAAGGGCAATCCCAAAAGAAATGTCTAATAGTTTCTGATTCCCTTTTGCAAAAAGAGCACAAGTTGTCTGTCCTGTACCCAATCTTGAACAACTTTGAGTTGGTAAAAAGTATAGAATTAAGTATTTTAAATTGAAAGGCTTTGACATAAGGTTCAAACGCGATAGAATGGGGCAAGAGAAATGCCTTTCTGAGATCGTCATTAGATAGATTAAAATCCAACTTCAGTTTTTGTGCATAATTTGGGAGACAAGCCTTCTTTTTGATCAAAAAAGGATAATAATCTTTTGATTTCTTTTTTGCTATGTCGAAAACGCCGCCATTGATTTTAAAGGAAGGTATTGCATTAAAGGTACTCGAATCCGAGCGATTAAGAACTCTTAAGTTAGTTGGTATTGAATGTCTCATACTAGTCCATTCAAGGAAGTTTGTCTTTTTAACATTTTTTGCAATCTGTTCGTAGGATTCCTATTGCTGAGATCAAAATGTAGGTTTCCTATTTCCCAGATACCAATGTCGTAATATTTCTTGTAGAAAAAGGGCTTGTCGTCTATTCTAAAGTCTCGATTATTCCAAATTACATAATGCCAATCGTTATTAAGAGCATTATCTTCTCGGAGTTCCGACCTTTGTTCTTCCGATAGTTTTGGAATATTTAAACTATTTAGAAATGCCTCTATGGAATCCGTAGCCTCTACAGAGTCCTTAGTTTTGTATAGGTTTTGATAAAATCGTTTTTGTTCGGCGAGTATCCGATACGGGTCTGTAGTTATTGAACCACTTATTAACAATTTTCGGATATGTTTTTTGACATGGTTTCTCTTTTCTAGATTTAAAAAGTATTTAGTACTCCTTTCACCATACTCATGCCAACGTGCTCTTGCCCGTATGACGATTCCTTTTACTTTTTCCTCATAGAAAAGTTCTAATTTTTCTTTGATTTCATCTAATCACAATCTATTTGAGGCACTAGGGTCATTTTCAAACAGCCTGTTAGCATCTTTAAGTTCTTGTTGAATCCGCTGCTCTTTCTCATATTTAAGTTTGGCTTTTTCTTTGGAGTAGCTAATGGCGTGCAATCTAATATTGTATGTGTGCAACAAGTATTGCTACTCTATCGCCTCCCTTTCCTCTAAATTGAAAGGACTTCTTACCCTTTTTTATTTTTCTATTTTTCTTACTTTTTTTTCTCTTTACGTTTCGGATATAACAATGCCTAACGTGTTTCATATCCTCCTTAGATGTGTTACCGATGTTTCCGCAAGAATTTGAGAAAGACGATGATTCGAATGGCCACATCGACTTCATCACCTCTGCTTCAGTAAGATTACAGTAATATAACACCCCTATCAGACATGTTCTAACCCTTCCCGCCCCCACCCCTTGGAATACATTTTTTCAGTATGTAGCTCAGCGGTACCACTTTACTTAGGCCCCGTCCACACTTATCCGGATATTTTTTCCGTTTTAGCCTTCCGTCCACACGGTTTCGGCGGTGGTGGGCAACGAAAACGCAGGTTTTTGAAAACGGTTGCCAGAGTGGAGGTTTTTGAAAATGCCGGCTTATAAGGAAGTGTTGGAATACGATGATGCCATACATAATTTAGACTTTCTCAAAGTCCTTCGCTTTCGTTTCCGGTTCCGGTAGTAGACTCCAGCGCGAAGGACGAGCTCCCGCTCTCTCGCTCGCCTTGCCACCTTAAACAATAATTACTAGCTCGAGCTTTGCGCTCGTGAAAAATTTTGAGCTCGACTTATAGGCAAGTCTATACATAATACAGCCCATTGAAGATTCTCTGTAAGGGATGCTATCGTTTTTCCACTGTTTTAGCGTTTTCTTGTGGACGGGCGATACGATTCGAATCGCGTGGACACGTTTTTTACCATCGAAATTGGATGAAAACATTGTCCTTTTCAGAAGCATCTGGATCCATGTGGACGAGTCCTTAACGAATGAAATGGTTCTACCTCGCCTACCTCTTTTGTTTTTGTTTTATCTCTATGGTTCGCTGGTCTTAAAACTAAATGATGTGAGCGAGAAGCAGGGGCGTACTTATAAAGCAAGTTGCCTTTTCTCAAGACGATAAGACTAAACTTATTTTAGCCCTCGAGTTTTAGCAAGTAGAATGAAAATCTGATTCTTTTCTACCCTTTTCGAGAACTTCATGTTTTACCACTTAGTGAACATTAAAGAAATTATCCCGATACATTGTGTAGTACCCTTCTTAATCAAGATACCTTCTCGATTGTTCACTACAGAATCTCCGTGCTACTATGTACAGTATAGAGAACGCAGACAGGTTAAAAACCAAGAAAATCGCTGGCAAAATAGTTCCTGCTATCGCTACAACAACTGCAGCTGTAGCTGGTTTGGTGAGATTCTCTTGTGGAGATTATTTTAACTCTTTCAATTTGTCTACTGTAGACTAATTTTGTTAAATTTGATTGCTAAGCCAATGCTGTCGGTTTACAATGGAACCTCCATATAACGAAGGGCCAAGGGACTGGCAAAATGTGTTCGACATAACGAAGTTCGTTATATCGAGGTTCTTTGTCATACATTTTACTATCGCTGGGGTAATGAAAATCGTTCGTTATATCGAGGTTCCAAAGTACTTTCTTCTTCCCAAACGGGTTCGAGGTGTTTGCACCTTATCCCTAAACGGCTGGATTTCTTTTGCTGTTAAGAGCGTTTTTACGTAATTTGCTGTGTGCGCGGTATTTGAAAGCTTTTGCTGAAACGCGAAAATTCAAAGTGGGAAGTAGCCTGTTCCAGGCTCTCAGATAGTGGGGAAGACGCAAAAGAAAAAGGCACGCGAAAAGTTGGCGGGGCGGGAAAAAGGAAAAAGGGGCGGGAAAAAGGAAACGGAAGTTTCCTCCCGTTTTATTTTCGTGTTTGCGCTTTCTCAATTCAGCGGAACCGACTATCTCGGAGCCTGGAACAGGCTAAGTGGGAAGCCAATTGAAAACATTTTCGGTACTACCTTTCAGGCTATAGAGCGTTTGGAGCATTATACGTTTCTGGGAAACTGCCCCCTACCCCTCTCCTAAGCCAACATTTTGCCCCAAGTGAGAAGTAAGTGTTAATGTTGGCTTAAGGGAGGGGTAGGTGGGTAGTTTCCCAGAAACGTATAATTATCCGAACGTTGTTACATGACGTCACGTCCGCCTTATTTGCGTTCTAAAACAATAAAACGGCAGTCATATTGGTGTTCCAAACCAGTCCTATTGGAGTTGAACCTCTTTGTTGTGGAAAAACTTTCTTTTGTTCCATTAAATTTGCATAAATGCTGGCCAATTGAGCAAATCTTAATACTCTACCCTTGTACAATACTTTCGGTATTAATTTTTGTCCCTGTCATAGGTCACCATTGAACTCATCAAAGTAGTGATGAAGAGTCCAGCTGAGGACTACAAGAATTGTTTCATGAATTTGGCGCTTCCTTACGTCATCTTCTCACAACCAGGCCCCCCTGAGGTAACAGTCATAAGGTAAGCAGATCACTTGTCATTCGAGGGAACTCAGTGTCAATTGAGAAGTGGTGGTTTAAAGTGAGAGTTAAAATCGAGACATTTTTTGAAGATTTGTTTTAGCATTTTGCAATAAACAACTACTGAACTTCGTTTGAGTAACAGTCCAAAATCATGATTAGCTAAATGTGCAATCCTTTTACTTCTAAACGCGCATTAAACGAGTACGGACCTTAATGGCACTTCATTTGCACATTCCACTTAAAAAATGACCGATGTTCATGAGAAAAAGATTTTGGTGATGTTGAGATAACATTTACGTAGTTGAGAGAAAAACATTCAGGCGATTCATGCCTCGTTTGGCTTCTCGAGTTTTTTCTTTTGGTTCGTCCCTCTATTAGTCTATCAGCCCGGATGTCCTGTGGGTGATAAAAGTTTACTTATTGTGTTGTAAAGAAAAAAAAAACAATAACAAGTGAAATTTAGCTCTCTCTTTTGTTTTCCCTGAAGGAAGGGACTCTCTTTCTCAAACTGGGATAAATGGGTGGTACAAGGAACTCCAGATTTTAAACTGAAGGACTTAATGAGCTTCTTCAAGGTAGGTGTTTAGTATTGTAAGCAAAGATCCGATGTAGTGTGAACATTAGTCTGCTACACAGCCGTTTTTAGTGTCGTCACGCAACTCTCCTTTGTGGGGAGGAGCATTGCGTGACGACACTAAAAACGGCTGTGTAGCAGACTATGTGAACATAGCCTAAGGTACAGTGAACACAGTGTGAGGCTGTGTTTACACTATACCAGGCAACTTTTACGCCGGCACGAAAACCGTACTGGATAGGACTTCTGTTCGCACATAACAACGGTGATTTCGGCGCGATTTCTGTCAAAGAACAAAGCTGCACATGGCACTATGATACACTAGGGAAACTTCGTTTTTAGTCGTAAATATCGTTTTCTTTGATTGTCGTCAATTATGAATAGATTTGAGAACAAACGTTGAATCGTTTCGGCGGTTCGTATTAAGCGTGCCAGGAGAGGTCATGTGTTGTGATCTTTCTTTTATTTTTCCCTGCTGCACAGGAAAAGTATGGATTGCAGGTGTCTATTGTAGTACATGGTGTGAAGATCGTGTATGTGCCTTTACTACCGGGGCATTCTAAAAAACTGGACCAAAAGTAAGTGTTACCTGATTCTTCACTTGTTAACCAGTAAAACTATTGGGACCTTCATAGCTCGGTCAAACCTGGACCCCACTGTAACTCGCAACTTCATGGAGCGAGACTCGCCTTTCTCTAGCCCAACCTTTCACAGACTTCGCGCGGACAACTGAGTAGCTTGTTCCAGACGTTCTGTTGGTGGAGTGCGAGAGAGTAAGAGAGCGGGAAAAAGTAAGGAGGAAGAGAGGTAAAGAGGAGAAAACGCCTGTGAGATTAGTTTTCAAAAGGTAATTCCGCCCACTTTGTCGGCTAGTAATCCGACCTTAGTTTCCGGTGTTAACAGTTGTCGATCAAGCAACGGTTGACAGACCACACTGTTTACTGAATTATGTAAAATGTACTACCTCGCTCTCACCCCCTAGTCCACCCCCTCGCCGTTTTTTCCTGCTCACATCTCTTTGGCGCCGTCCCCACGATCTGAACGCCTGGAACAGGCTAACAATTGAGCAAGAGAATTGCCTAGGGAGTAGGTTGCCGTTGTGGGATTGGATTGTCACCTGGCTGTGTAGGGGTGGTTTTCATGTCTTAATGACCCACAGAGTAGCCTGTGTTGCAGACTTATCCAACCTCGGTTAGTAACGTTTGCGAAGCAGTGCTAAGAATCTTGTTCTGCGCCCTAACGCACTCCACGAATTACCAGAAGTGCGTTTTGAATTTCCCTTTATCCTATTGGCCAGTCGAACAATGGCTTTTTTCAAATAGGCCAACCATAGTATGTTCTCAATTCCTGGTACACAGCAGGGGGTCCAGGATAAGGATTTCGGCGCTGGATCGCAGGTGGACTTATCCAGAGTTTTAGTTTCGTGTGTGGCGCAGACTACCAAGTGCTCCACGTTGGCTGAAGTAGGGCCAGCCGTGCCGGTCTGCTAGACGAAGAAAAGGGTAGAGGCTGAAAAGAGTAATTCCCGTATACTCCAAGTTGGAGTTAGGAGTTTCAGTCGCGGCAACATTTCCGCACGATCTTAAGCGAGAAAAATATAATTTCTTCGTTGGTTGCTTAGCGTAATAGCTTCTATCTCGATTTTGTAAAAGGCAAGCAATAGTGCTTTTCTGCGATCGAAGCACATTGATTATATTTAATGTACTTTGCAATTACCTATTCACAGGATGAGCAAATTAATAAAGACCTCTGGCAAAGCCTATGTCGACCTCACCGTGTCCTTTGAGGGTGACGGCAACGACGAAGACGATCTGCCAGGACCTCCCGTGCGGTACTATTTTGGGTCCTAAATGAACAAGCCGCTTAAAGAAATCGCCTCTGAACACTCAACAATGCGGTGCCTCATGGAAGGCTGTAACTGATACTGGCCGCAAACAAGAACACTTCTTGTTCTTTCTGGGTGTAAATTATCGCTAGAAACGCTTACGTTCGAAAGAACGACTACGAGTACGATTACGATATTTCAAAATAGGCACCGTGAAAAGCTATATTTTATTTTATTTTATTTTTCACCAGAGAAATTAAGGAGAGTTATTTGTTGTGAAGGCCGATGAGCCCTCTCCTGATCCGGTAACCGAATTTCTAACATTCGATGACTTGTTACAGCAACTTCGAAATTCTCGCTAAAATCCCTAGTAGAATGACGACGGCTGTCGCGTTTTCCGCCCGAAATAATGCTGGTTCACTACTTACTGTCGAACCTCCCGTAAGCGACCACCAAAAATGCGACGATGTGGTGGTCGCCTATGGGAGGTGGTCGCTTACCAGAGTCGAACCGCAGAAGGTCTTTACGGAGTAGAGGTCCCGACACTTCTACTCTTTGGAAAAGAATTTACTGTACGCAATTTCAAAGTTACGGTATGTGTAGTTCTATCTCGTCACCCAAGTTTCTATGAGTAGCGTGTTACAAGAGGTTGAAAACGGTGGAAAATTAAACCTTCACCATAAAAAGTGGTCGCGGTCGCAGTCGCTCGTGAGAGGTGGTCCTTTACGAGAAGTTCTATGTATATGGCTTTGACTTCAAAAACTTCACCCTTTTGGATAGACGATCGCTTATGAGAGGTGGTCGCGCATGGAGGTTTGACTGTAGTATTAAGAAAATTTCGGCCTCGTAGTCGTGTTCGACTTGACATTTAAAGGACTCTATCATGAGATGAGTATAAATAAGTAATAGGCGGTACAATAGAAAGTAAACGCTAAAGTGATGGGTAATTCGCTATTTTCACATACACCATAATGCACCTTGTTTACCCCCCAAAATTTTGCAGAACTATTATTTCCAATTTCTCCAGAATATTACAGTCGTCCCAAGAGAAATCGAAAACAATGGTTATGCAAAATTTTCGGGGGGCAAACAAGGTGCATTATGGTCTGTGTGAAAATGGTGAATTCTGAGACTGCGCGTGAGACTGGCCTTTTGTTATGTCGAATTGCACTATGGGATTGTATTAAGGATATCAGCGCTTCTTTTACTACCCTGACAAAGATGAGAGGGAAACTGGGTCCCGATTCGTCCTCCAAAACAATACCCGGCATAGTTCAATCCCGACTGACTATTAAGCGCAGCCTCAACATGCCCCATTACAGCAAAGTGAATATCTTCTTTTATAAAATAACTAAGATAGTACGCGCGCTCTGATTGGCCGAGAGCAGTGTTTGCATGAGAGTATGTAAACATGGTTGTGGCGTCAACTTGTTTGGCTTTTCGCGCGCTAATCACGCAAGCACCAAATTTGGAAAAGTTTTCGTGTTCAAAACTCGACAAATGAAATTTCTGGCGATTGAGTCGCTACGAATTAGCCTGAAATTAAATATTTCTGCGGCACGGGAGCAGCAGGCCGTGGGCCTGGGTCTTTTTAATGTAGTTGCATCATGGGTAATGGCGTGTGAGTATTTAAGCTTGGGATTGCACGTGGGCAATCATTCTAGGCCGACACCACTCACTATAATTTTTTATTTATTCCGTTCTCCTACCATGGAGCGGTCTGAAGTTCTTAACATCGTGGATACGGCGATTGCCAGGAACAACGACAGTCTTGTCGATTCGATGAAACGCATTCTAAATGAGTCTTTATCCGATATCAAGAGAGCCAATTCCGAGTCTGCTGACTCCCATCTCAGGGAAATAAAGAAGCTGAAGTTTGAGGAGCCACGGCGCTTTAAAAAGAAGGCGAACGAGGACCAGTACAGATTTAATTCGAAGCTGAGCGATGTGTTAACCGAGG